TATGTTCCCATCCCCGCACCCCTCCCCGCACCCCCTTTATTCTCCTGCGCCTAGAGCACCGTCACCGCCTCGTCCAAGGTATCCATACCCCCTCCAACAACACCAAGGGATTGCGGGCGAGCAGCATGCATTCCAAGCCCAAACCTATGGAGCTCCTTCCGCCTACCCTGCTTATCCACCGCAACCCGGTTACCCACCACAACAGTACCCACCACAACCTGGTTACCCGCCGCAGTACTCATATCACACGGGAATGCCTCTGCCTCAGGAGCACGTACCTCCCCCGCATCATTCCTACTACTACTCCCATGGCCCGACCGGGCAACCCGCATATCGGTATCCTCATCACTCTTCATAGTTTGCTTGCACGTACCTCCCCCACATCATCCCTACTACTACTCCCATGGCCCAACCGGGCAATCCTCATATTGGTATCCTCGTTGCTCTTCGTAGTTCGCTTTGAGTAAGGTCTCCTTTTCGATAATTACATTGAACCAAAAGCGGAAAACTGCGGGGCACAAAATAGATGGAGAGGCGAGGAAATTCAAGGCAAAGTTACCCACTCGCAGATACAGCACAATTCAATGCGAAGCCAAGGGAGCCAAAGTCTGCCGTAGTACTATTTACATGTATTGACAGCAGTATTCGCCACAGCGACCATGTCGGAAGCAAGTGCCCACAAGCACCTGGAAACTGCTATCTGCAAACAGATGAGACTGGAGCAGAAGCTCTTTGAAAAGAAGCTGAGCGAGGCTGAAGCTCACACAGCTCAGTTACGCGTCGCCCGGGCCCAGTTACCCTCAAACGAACCTCTAACCAAACAGAATGAGGATTTGGACAAGGCATTGAAGGTACTGTAGTCAGTACCCTCATGTACCTGCCGATTAACCCTCCTTGCAGAACCAGCCATAAACGCCTTTGATTCTCTGGACGTCGGTGCAGCAATATTCGCTTCTCAGTCAAAAACAAACAGCTGATATGATGCAGACATTTGCTCATTGAACGATGGCCCCTGCACAAGGATGACACGCTTTTCCGGAGTGGTAGACCTACGGGTCTCAATATTTATGCACCTTTTTACAACGCGTTTCGGATCAGTGGGAAAATAATATTTAAGGCCTTAAAGTGCCCTTAACCCCTCTTAAGGTCTTATGGGTTGAGAAAACCTGAATTAAGGCCTTATGGACGGACACTGGCAAAATGAAGTGTCGTCCCCCCTTTCCCCCCCCCCCGGAAATATTGATACGACGGGGTACGATCAAAGGAGGCAAGTCGAAACGATCATCCACAGCCGCAGAAATAAATAGAAAGGTCGCCCTTTTCGTAGACACTTGTTCCCAACAAGTAATGGGAAACGGGTGTTTGCGTTGCTCGATATCTTCCCAGACTCACCGGGTAGTATGATAGGATCAGTTTATATGGCTTCCAACCAGTTCCAACCTATGATCAACTTGCAACTTATGGTCGGCTCGCGCGCTTCGTTCTCAAACTCGATCAGGGGAATCGTAAAATTTGCTTCCGCGGGAGTATCTCCCTCGTGGCTCGCTTAATACATATCTCAAGCGAGATCCTGCGAGATCCCGGAAGTATATCGTACAGATCCTGCTCTGTCCTGTAATCAAGGTCAATCTTTCCATCCGTACTATGTCCCTTACTATAACGGTTCTTGGACGCTGGAGAATGCCCGGCGTTGCGGTTTCGGCGAGCCCCAGTGCAGCACCTTCTCTGCTCTCAGGCTTCATCGGAATTGAAACGACTAGACACTATCCCCCCAACCACGGAGCGAAAACACGTGACCCGGTGATCACGGCCTGCTCACGTGTGGTTCCTTCGCAGAATCGCGAGTCAACCTCGAGTCAACCGCAGTCCCTTCAACTTGGCAGATATACGCGGTGGGAGTCTGCCCATGGCGCCAGAGTAAAATAATTGTATGTTTAAGCCATAGAACGGACACATTTGGTGTGAAAAAATCCCCGAGGCTTCATCCAATGGCTTCAGCCACTTTCACCTGAGGGAATGATTCCCACTAATGCCTACTGTAGCCCTCAATTTTGCCCATGAGTCCGAACTCAAATTCTAGCAGCCCACAGGCATATCCTATCGCTATACTAGGCACGGATCGCGGCGGCGGCGGCACGGTCCTGGCACATCAAACAAGCTAGATGTGCCCTAAGAGTAAATGCGCTTTCTTTCACCTTCTTCTACAATTTATCATAGGTACGGGGAAGGAGAGCATTGAATTATTGAATTTGAACGACTTGGAAAGAAGTCGTTGGCGCGGTTACGTGAGCGGGCCGCGATCACCGGGTCACGTGTTTTCGCTCCGTGGTTGGGGGGATAGTGTCTAGTATTGAAACTCAAAGGCTTGAAGTTGAATTTTTATGATCGCACGGGCCGTGACGGCAACGCGACGGGGCTTATCTGCTTATCATCGTCCAACATTCAAGCTCCGCGACGCATCCGGGTCCTGGATTCCGGGAATCAAATGTAGTCGCGGGGAGACACTATGACATCCGCGACTTGTCCGCGACATATCAGCTGAACAATCTTTGTGGGAAATCTGAAGCAACGCAAGGCGCGTTGCTGCTTGCCGATGCCTCCTGGCCCTGCGATGCCAAAAGACACTTCCTTCTATCTTGCGGGGCCCAATCACATGGGATGAAATATGGATCCGGGCGAGTAGGGTCGCTTCGGCTAGGTTCGAGAAATATATGCTACGCGACTCGTACGGCAGGTTGGATCGCTGTTGGATCGACGCCCACAGGCGTCATCCTCGACGTCGATGATTCTCGTGCCGGCAGCAACCCGTAGACATTCTAGGTCAGGGCCACGTTCAAATGTTCATCCGACCTTCGGACGACGGACTCCTGACGCAAGGCGCACCATTGCATGCTTGAGAATCGATCCAATTTGCTTCGCGGGAGCTTGTATTAGTAATGGAGCACCCGATAATGGAAATCGTCTTTGGTGATTTTATTCCGAGGGACAATAGTAGGCGTTAGCGCTCTGGTCTAATTTGTGTTAGCTTCTGGCCTCGACGGTGAATGTGGGGCCAACCTGTAGTCCTCGTGGTTGATAAGACTTGCCTGCGCACTAATAAAACCAACGAACCATCGCAACCGTTTAATGTCGGTGTCAATGTGCAGAACAAGGTTCTCCGTCGCGCGAGAAGGCCAGTAACAAATGAAAGCACCGGCAAGTTCCTTCCTTACTGGACCTTCGAAAACACTTGTTGTTGTTTTTTCAGCCTGGCTGCAAGTAACTTAGTAAGCACAAGCAGAATCAAATCAATCCGATGCATCGATCGATGGGGATCGACTTCCCTCCGGCGGATTGACATTTGACCACGGACACGCTGTTGAAAGAGGCCTTGTTACAGCTGGTGTGGATACTATCCCCGTAGCCCAACCACGCGACACGCCCCGCCTGACTGAAAATCGACTAGGAGTATGCTCTTGTTCCCTAAGGCCACCGTTTGGCCACCGTCAATATTTGGAGTCGGAACGCCGTTGGCAACCCCGCCTGATTGACGCGTAGGAGAATCGAATCGGGCGACCTGCTGACCACGGGTAGGCTCGGACGTATCCAGAAAGGTTCAAGTTCAAATTGCCAAAAAGGTCAATTGTTGATCGTAGATATTGGTGGAGATGAACGCACATGGGTTGAAAGTTCTATGAATGTTGTAAGTATGAGGGAAGATTCCAGTCCAGTATCACGAGACGAATGCATACGGGGCAGGATGCCCGCAAGCAAGGTCGAGCAATCGCGCTGTAGACACTCCATACGCCGTGCCAACCGGAGATGAGGGGTGAGTTTAATGCGAGAATGGGCGCCGTGGACTAAAGTTCCACTGAGATCCCCATTACCGCTCGCGATAATCGCTGAGCGCTGGAAGGAATCGAAACAACCACCCCGTCCACCTGCCAGACGAGATGATCTATAGGTCGAAGAAGCGGGCTGAATGCCGATTACAAAAGCCTGGAACTTTGAAGCGCATCCACCCATTGGCCCAAATCAAAGACGGACAACCCGAAGCCGAGAATTTTGCCGTCCAGTAGTGGCCAAAGCGAGGTATATTGATGATTCGAGTACGGCATGGGCCCAGGCCCGAATCCGAACCAAGTAGCAATCATCGAATCAGCGAGCAACAAGGAGGCGGTTGGAAGGAACCAGGGGGCAGCAGCCAAGAGGGCTCAGCGAGCAGGAAGTAGCTCTGAAGCAATATCTGGCGCTAAGATGCTCCCTGCACAAGACGAGCACTGAAGAGCCTGGAAGTTTCACTGCACTGGCAGTGAAAGAGAAAGAGAGGGCTTGAGGGACTATCTGCGTTGAGATCGCTCTGGACAGTTAACAGCGGCGCAAGTTCGCACCCTGGTTTCGCAGGGGGCATTCGGGATGCAAGCCATGCTTGCTAAGGGTCCATGGGTTGTCGTGTCGAACGCAGCGAGCTACTGACAGTCGGCGGTCGCAACAGAAGTGACAAGATCCGATCTCGCTGCCATAGGCGGTGTGAGCGTGCTTGAAGTGTTGCATAAAAGCTCTGCGCACGCCGCAAATGGCCACCGAAGATACTCTTGAAGGCAAGCTTAGGGAGTCTTTATGCAGAAGAACGACTCGAAACCGAAGGAAGGACCCGTTTATTCGGTTGGTAAAAAAAAGCGGCAATCACTTCACTGGTTGGGCTGTGGATGTAACGCGAAGACAAACAAGCAAAGAATTTGGACTTTTCACGGGAAAGGGCACGCGGGAGTTGCCGGTGGCTGTACATGCTTTGTGCTTCGACAGCGCGCGCCGCGTTGTTTTCCAAAAATTCCAAGAGAAATATTCAGAGGATGCGAAGGGATGCGATGGCCGACATGAGCACAGCGCCACAGTCGTTGGCACGCCTACCTCAATATCAATATACCGGCAGTTTAATAGAGCCGCGCCGCTGCAGTCCCTATGCATTGTACTACATCTTCAAGTTGCAAAATTCGGGTGAAAGCTTCCAGACAACAGCCGGACAGCACAATTGGTAGTGCGCCTGATTAAAGTACATACTGTGTGGGAATATATTCAGGTGACCCTCGTTCGATCCTATGCTGTTCAAGTTGCACAAGTATTCACCGGGCAGTTTTGTTGTGAATCTTCCCCGAAGAAATTTCGGTGTTGTTCCGGGAACTTTTTTCTTTCGTCCCGAACTTTTTTGTTGCAACAATTTTGCAGATCATGTATTCTAAGTGCCTCTCTCTAATGTCTTTTTTTCGGGCCAGTACTACTGTGCAAACTAATTAGCTTCCCATTCTTGTCCCGAACAAAATTTCCGTCCTCGGGCATCCCGGGCGTCGAGCGGGCTGTCCCGGGCAGCGGAAGAGACCTATCTAGGGGCGAGGGGACTGTCCGCACCCATCCCGACTCGTCCGGCCCAGCGAGGATGCTTGGTGGATATTGGGATAACAGCCAAGTTTGGCTATGCTTGACACCAGCTTCTTGGGCACAGCTTCGTCTCTTGGTCTCTCCTCCTTGCTTTCTGTTGCCCGTCTGGCGGTCTGGTTTCTTTCCTCTCACTCTGGCCTATGCCTGCTGCTCTGCAGTCCCCCTTTCTTTCATTCATGAAGTCTCTATCCATCCGAGTCAATACAAACACAATTCGCTCGCTCTCCGTGCGGCTCTCGTTGGCGGCTGGCCGGTACATCGTTTGATGCCGTCCTTATTCGGCATCAGATAGGTCATGTTGTCTCGGCCGCGCACCTTCAGCGGGTGCAAGATTCGGTATGTGACCGACCTCTATCTTTCAATGGCTGCCTTGCCCTGCCCTTGTAGAGTTGAGAAAAGCAGTCAATACAGTACACATATTCGATCTGAGCCATACAATCTACCGGTATCTACCAATACAGTCCATAGGTATCCGTTAACACACTCAGACCTGTACAGAATCAGTAAGTAGTCACCAATATAAAGATCCACCTCACCTTCGCCTTGTCAATCGCCATCTGGAGCTCGTCAATAGTTACTTCGATGGGGAACGGCAAACACTCGTGTGGCAGAGGGGGGCCGGGTAAGCGGTGGATGAGCTCGTCCGCAATAGACTGGAATGAAGACTGCTGCATCGCCGCATCGTAGTAGCTTGTCCACCGCTTGACCTTGCACAGTGCGTGTTCCACAAAAATCACCCCGAAACCAAGACATTCTTTGGCCTCGCGGGAGAGATGTTTGAACAGATGGTCGTACACACAAATAAAGGCGGTGCGCGTGGCCAGTGGATCTGAAGCGTTCAGATTGAAGCCAAGGAGCTTGAGTCCCTTGAATGCACCGAGCTCCCCTCGCCCTGAAACCCATGCCGCCATAGACTCTGGATCAGGCTCCTCACAGACACCAAGAACCACAAGATTGTTGGCCATCTGAAGGGCAGTCAAGCCATCACTCTTCAGCCCGTAAAAGCCGAACTCCTGGATGAAGTCCAGCGCTTCCTTCCATGTCCGCTTCTTCCCTGTAAATGTTTTCGGATCCTGGCCAGCCATGTCCCCCAGAAACTCGCCCCATCGCTCTTGCACGTCCAGCTCGTAGAAGGGCCGGAACTTCTCTTCCAAGGTGCACTTTTCCCCGTCGCTTCTGCGTGTAGGAGTGAGACCGAGAGAGTTCGCAGCTTCGCCGTACACATTCGGATTGTGGGTCGGAAGATATCCGGGCTGCCTCTTGACTGCGGTATCGACTGCATCGTCGGCAGCATGAGGATGCTCCTTCCGGTACTCCTCCTTCAAGCTCGTGTTACGGGCATGGGCATCACCGAACACTTGGAGACACTCATCAAGCGACTCAAAGAACATGGTATCCTGTGTGTCAAGGAACGTCTGTGTACCTCCACCCTGTCCCGTGAGCTGCCACGCAAGGAGATTCGAAAATCCCAGAGCTCCGGTGACTCGTGTCGACGGGATCTTCTCTTTCAAGAGTTGAGCATTGACAGAAAACAAGCGTACCGGATCTGTGAGATCACGGTCCTTGCTCTCCGCACCTGTACCGGCATGTCTGCCTTCAAGGATCCAGCGCAGGGATTGATTGCATGGGCCAAGGTTCTGTCGTTCATTGAGGGCTTCACGAATGATCAGTGCGAGTTTTGCCAGCAACGGCTTGGACTCAGTGGTGTCATCAAAGCCGTCTGAGCCAAGAAGTTGGGCTGGGGTGAGGTTTATTCGTGGGATATGTTTCCTCCGGGGCTCCTTCGCAGTTGGAGCTGCTAAAGAAGTAACGTTCTCGACCACCACATCAGGATTCAGGAACTCCTCCTCCGAGATAGGACGGCCGCGATGGAACTCCAACATACGACGGTGAACAAAGCCAGCCAGATCCGTCGCATGCTTAACGATATCCGGATCCGACGAGATCAGAGATTCGAGCGGGGTGATCAATGTAGCTAGAGTTTTCGTCTCGTTGCGCAAAATAGCAGCCATGAATCGAGTGTCTTCATGCCATTTGGACGGAAACAACGATGTCGGGCAGAGGAGGACCTCGTGCATGGCATGGGAAGCGAAGATGGACTCCCCGCCGCACACTTGAGATATGCAATGCAGGACAGCGCCACGAGCGATTATGCGGGCTTGCACCTTCTGTAGCTCCATTGCCGGTGAGCTTTTAGCGGCATTTTTGGGGGATCCGGTGGCCGTTTCTGCTTGTGCTTTTCTCTGTGCAACTCGTCGCTGCGGGCTCATCCAATGCTTATCAACCGGGGCCATGGGTATTACGACCATTTCCCGCGAGAGGAGGTCAAATAAGCACTGAACAGCGGCTTTGACGAGCTCGATGTCTCCTGCCCCAACTTTGGCTATGGCAGGAAGCTTTACGGCTCCTGTTTTTTTGGGGTTAGGAAGAAGACCATGCAAATTGGAAGGCACCTCAGTTAGAGGTAGAGAAGTCGGTGCGGAGTGGGATATGGATGAAGTTTCGGTAGTTTTCCGTTTCTTCTTGAGCTGCGCTGATGATGTCTGGATGTATTTGGCATATGCCACGACTGTCTTGACCAGTGGAGCAAAAGCGGGGAACTGGCGTTCAAGATCGACTATAGAGCGATTGTGTAAGATCACCAAGTCCTTTGCTAGGCTAGGTCCAGTGCGGAACCACTCGTACAAAATCAGGTGTGCGCGGCAGAGGTCCCATTGGACCATTCGGCCCACTATTCCAAGCTGCTCTTGGGCCCTAGCAAGCTCGGGAATCGATTCAACGGTTGTTATCAGCCGATTGACCCGTGTAATAGCAGTGCGCTCGTCTGGTTGGGGAAACTTGAGCAAGCTCGAGATGACGTTGTTGGTGTCGTTGCTGTTTAGCAACTTATGAATGAGGTCTGGAAGGACAATCCGCTTGCCCTTCAGCCCCGCTACCCCTTCGCGATCGGATCTCAGAGCATCCAACTCCGCCTCTAGATTGGCTGAACTCAACAGATTCGATATGGTCGTCAGTGGGCGTGCCCCTAGATCCTCGGGTTTTAGTGGCTCAAGATCGGGTATGGGCTTTGGTGAGCGCTTCCTAGCACCTTTCTTTTTTCCGTATTCCTCATCTGAGCCGGAGCTATCTGCTTCAGAGCCAGAAGAAGTGTCCTTTCGAAAGGTCAAAGGCCGGTATATATATAGGCAGGATAAATCTTACTTCTCTGTGACGCTTCCTCGAACCAGGGGCAGACTTCGAAACAGACAAAGACATTTCCTGTGAGGTTCCAGTCCTTTGAGAGGTCAGAACCCCGCTAGAGTCGTCAAGAAACCAAGTAGTTCGCGCACAAAGGTGAGTGGGTGAGGTATTGGATTCGAGAAAACTAAAGATCTACCTACTCACTAGCTACATTAAATAGGATTCTATGTTACTGCGTACATACATCTGAAAAGGTAATTCTATTAATACAAGCCTGCGCCCGAGCCGCGTACTCAACGGCGCCGCAGGCGCGCAGTTCAACACGTCCTTGAAGACGTGGTTGAACACGTCGCGTTGATCCGTCGTCGGAGATCACCGAATGCCGCGATGCCCGAGGTCCATCCCTTACATTTCCGGTGCAACCCTAGACTTGGTTAAGTAACTTGGCGAATAGAATGTATAGCACTGACTTGAGTATCTCAGTAGCAGTCAGCCAAATTTCACCGTCAAACCCTCGGCCTCGCACAAGCCACTGAGTACCACCCTGCAACCAAGACACATCAGTTTGAAACGATCACATTGAGCCTTGATTAACGTACATTTGGTGCTGGCCTGGATTTGAGAACCCTCGGGGCTTCAAATACATCGTCTTCCGACTCAATACCGGAGTCCGGATCCGTAAAATCAGGAGCGTCAAGCATGGCGACATCGGAGTCCGGGGCAAGGGACGGAGCTCGACCTCCGTCATCGAGGTTAATAGGATTGTCGCTGTTGTTAGAAACAGAACCTGGAGTGGAATTCTTGGCAAGAGAAGTGCCATTCGATGTGCCTACCATGTCGACATCCGAGGACAAGGCGGGCGACTCAGCAGCAGGGCTAGTGACATCTGCAGCACTCTTCTCAACCATTGTCTGGTATAAACTACGCAGATAGGAGGACGCCAAGGGTATGTTGCTAGCCAGGAAATTTGCGATTAAAGCAGAGTTCTGTCTTTCATAAAGCCTGAAAGTGATTGCCTCAGTTGCAGCTCCAAAAATAGGCACTTCGGCTAATCCGAATGAGATACTTCTCGCTTTGAATCCGGTACCATGCAAAATACCCGCGCATAAGCCGCACAGAGTCAGCATCACGCTCGATGTTGATAGGTGGAGGGTCAAGTGCGCGGAATTCATTTTTCTCGTCGCGGTACTTGGTCAGAGCAAAGAGCTCGTCCGGACTCATATCGAGCTTCAGGCCGGCAACCTTGAAGGCATTGAAAGCTCCCCACCAGATCTCACGGCCCAGCCGATTGGCACGAGCATGAGCATCACCAAGGACGGTAGCCCCATGCTGCGCGAAGTTCTTCTGGCGGAGCTTGTGGCTAACTGGAGCACCCTGATTCATGAAGAAAACAGGAGGAACAACGGAAACCGATGCCACACGGGACATCCCAACCTCGCTCGGGTATGCCACAAAGAAAATGCGATTTTCCGGCGAGATCAAGTCGACAAGAG